CAAGAAGCTGGTTCTGACTGTCGGCCGGACCGGAGAGATCCGGAGGAGGGACGACCGCCGAAACTGCACCGGGCAGGAAGTTCCCACCAATCAGACGGCGCTGCTGATGAATGGAGACAAACACGGAAACAACAACAAGCGTCTCAACAAAGAGAAACAACCCGAAGAACAACCAAAGACCTTCATTGATCCAAAGGTTTATGAGAAAGTTGCTTCAGATCTTTGTGAACCAAGTAATAAAATTATAGAAACTTTCAGGATCCTTGAAAGTCTGACGTGGGGATTCTTTCATCCAGAACCACCAGAAATAAATCCTCAGGAACTCTGTGAGGCAGGTTCAAACCCAGCAGCTGTTATCATTGGAGAACGAACAACAGAGAAAGACAACAATGGAAACCCCAAGACAGTGATTCACTTTGAAAATGATAATAATAGAAAAACCAACATTCTGAAAAAATGTTTTGCAATCAACACAGGAAGTGACATCAGAAACATCATCCGTTACTTTGCAAAGAATGAAAAGAATGAGATCACACATCTGATGGTTAATAACTGGATTTATGAAGTCGATCCTGAAAGTCTTTATGTGTTTCCTGTTGGAAAGAGGCTGGGCAACAATGAAAGATATCAAAAGGCTATTAATGACATTCAACAAAATATCAGAAACCAAATGGACAAGGAAAGTTACCGAGATATAAGACCCGAGATTCAAGGAAACGGTAATGAAGAAGAAAAAGAAGAAAACTCTAAAGAGTGTGTCCAGTATTTCAAAAATATTTTTCTTGGATACCCTGCGCATATCCCATCTCCAAAGAGGGCAGCTTGGTGCACCACGTATTTCACAGCTTCAGTCATTAGTGAATCTGCCAGAAACTTCCGGACGTTTCCTTTGACCCTCATGGCTCTGAGCATGGATGCTACCAGGTTCTGGTTCGACCCAAACTACATCACCATGGCTGATGGGGGAACCTGGCTGAACACACCGCAGAGAGGATTCAGCGGCGCAGCAGGAGGAGACCTGGATAATCTGAAAGACCTTCTAGTTAGAGAGTACAGAACGATCAGTGAGTGGCAGGATGGGGGTCAGGATGAGAAAGCTCAGTTCACTAAGATGGCTGAAATCGCAGAGGAGTTTACCGTATTAAACTCAGAGGAGGAAAAGGGAAACTTCATAGCAGATTGCCAAACATTCTTCAACACTGTGAACAACCAGCAGAATCTCCCATCAGCATCTGGCAGCTCAGCATCAATGATCAGAAAACGTTCCAACATTCAGCCTGAAGTCAATAAATGACCAGAAATATCATCAAAGTGCTACGGGGTTCAGTTACTGCCATAAATCATGTCAGCATTAATATTAATATTAACACGAGTCCCACATTGATGATTCTGTCATTTAACTGGAGGAGCTGAAAGCTTCACTGTTTAATAAAAAGCTTTGATTCATTTCTTCATGTCTGTTTTTAATGTTCATTTTCCTCCAAGTCTTTCACTCTGCATGGCTGCAGGTCAAAGGTCAGCCTGGACAGGTTGGCCTTTGAATGATCAGCCTGACGTTACATAACTGTTTATGAATCTTGAGTTAATATTTGGTTCAGCATTTAGTCATGAAGTGGTTTACAGTCAGAGAAGCAGAGATGAGCCAAACTTTGGTTCAGATAATCGATCCAGACAGTCGGATGAGTTTTAACATCTGTAATAAATAAACTTCTATCCACAGATGATGGCATTTATACACATGAACTTCATGTAAACCTAAATAACTGAAGACAGATGAAGGTGTGTTAGGGCGACACCTTCAGGATGGAAGATGTAATTACAGCAGATTGTGTTTTAAATCACCAAACTTTAAAATGAATCAGATGAAAAGTTAGTTGGGTGGAAAACTCTAGAATCTCTTCAACAAACACTGAAAAACACTGAAACATGAAAACTGAGCTTTGAATCTACAACTAAATCAGCTGATCTGACGAAATTAATTTTAATATGTGGCTCTGAAATAGTTTATCCAACGAAGCATCTGATTGGATGGTCAGGATGACAAGGTCAAAGGTCAGTGACCAAAACATGAAACTAAAATGAGGAGCAGCTTCAGGACCTTTTCCAACCACAGAGCAGAAACTGATTTTATCTACAGAAATCCGCCGTGTCAGCATTAAACCAACGCAGAACGCTCATGACTTCAAATGTTTTAGGACCGTCATGGAGCTCATCGCATTCAGGACGAAGAAATGAAATGATTTTATTTGGTTCTGTTTCCTGGAATCTGATCCTCTAACTTTACATCACATTTAATCTCATAAGAACATTTTCATGGTTTCTGCTGTTTCTCATGAGGACTTTGTGGCCTGAGGTCAAAGGTCGTCTAAGAGGCTCTTCAGGAAACTCAGCAGCTGCTGCTCTCATTTTAATACATATTATTATAACTGTGTTAAAATAAACTGGGCTGCTGGTTAAACTCCAGGATTTCACCGCCTCCTCCCAGTCTGACGGATCCTCTAGGTTTACCACACGGCTTTATTTCTGGAAACCAGTGTTGTGGTACTCGAAGTTGGTCTTGGTCTCGATACCGGTCTTGAGACCATTTTCTGATGGTCTCGGTCTCTGAGGACTCGGCATTTTATTTCAAGACCAGTCGAGACCGTAACTGTGAAAATACCACTAAACGTGCAGCATACTGTCCAGTTTATTTGTTAACATCTTTGTTTTCAGTGGATGCAAAACGCACCAATTAAAATCCAACCAATAACGTTTTTCTGTTACACCCGTGTAAAACTCACTTAACCGCTAAGTCTGGATGCCATACAACTGTTAATAACTGTTAATAATGATCTACGTCATGATTCTATGTTGCTATTTAAATAAAATCATATGGTAATGACAGCGTATGCATGTCTGAGCTAAGCGTACGACTATCTGACAACGTATGCTGATCTGACAGAACACCGTGAGTTTGTGCTAAGCGTATGACGATCTGACCTGACAGAACACCCGTTCTTTGTTCTTGTAATGCTCTGTGTACACTCAATCATTATTTTATTTAATTATGTACGTTGATATTTAAATTAACAAATAACTAAAACACAAGAACGAAAGAGCACGCAGAGAATGCATATTGTTCTTTGATTGTTTTTGTTCAAAGTGGCAGCTGTAATGTCTGCCATGGTGTCAGACTACCTGGCTTCATGTACTAGGATAGAGAGTGAAAACAGTCACGATGAGCGCCTTCTGTTTGGTTACTTGTTGCTCCTTGGTCAGTGTTCATGGTTGAGCGTTATTTACCGTCAGGGCATTGCCTCAATTACTATGTTTAATGGTGCAGACAGTGGTGGTTTCTTATATGAGCAATATAGGCAAATGCCCAGGGCGTTATGTTTTTAGGGATGGCACGAGACCATCACGCATTTTAACACAGAAATGGAATATTTAATATTGGTAAAATGTATTAAGTATTTAATATCTAGGTGTTTTTTATGGGAATATGGATCTTTCAGATTATTTCAAAAAGCAATTTTGATCATATTTTACATTTTATTGTGTCATGTAGCTGTAGCTGGTCTTGGTCTTGGTCTCGGGTTAGGTGGTCTTGAACACAACACTGCTGGAAACATATTTCTATATAACTCGACTCAGTAAAAGCTGAGTCAGGTATGGAAGCCCATTTCTGCCATAAAAGAAAAAAATAAAAGACCAAC